TTTTTCTAAAATGACTAAACATTTATCATGAGGAAATTTTCAGTGTTATCCGTGGTACGCTACCGCGGGTTGGTGAGAAGGTTATGGTAGAAGCAAGCTACAACCCTCAGATGCCGTTCAAGTGGAATGCTTATCGTATTCAACTTCTAAATTCGGGCGATAGTGGCCCACCAGCACCTCAAAATCACAATCACCCCACGCGAAATGCCGGAACAGGTGGTCCGGGTGGTGGCAGGTAAGACATGCTGTTCAATAATAATCAAAACAGTAATTAATGGTTCAAGTGTTATGAAAGCACTTTCAGATGGGGTCCGCCAACATCTAACGACCGTAATGGTCCTGCTCATAGGGCATCACCGCCTCGTCGGCGTTCACCACCTCGTCGCAGTCCACCTCGCAGGTCCAGTCCAGTGCGCAAGGACCCACCTCGTAGGAAGTAAGGATTTCCTTTTTCAGTAAAGTTTTGGGAACTAAGCATTTGCATTCAGATCTCCACCACCTCGTAGGTCGCCACCACGACGCTCTCCTCCTTCCCGATCGGAGCGAAGCGATCGGGACCGCAAACGGGAGCGAAGTGCAAACCCACCAAGTTCTGCACAGTCCACTAGACGCGATAGCGCTAGCCCACCTCGGCGGCGAGCTAGAATCATTCCTCGTTATGAGTGTCATCCTCCTCGACCTGTGCTTCTCAAGTACGCTACACTTGTTTTTAACCTTCCCGCGTAAGAGATGCCATTTTAGTGAGCAAGTCTCTGTTGTCGGTCTGAGAAGTCGCTACCTCAAGCTTTACATTCCCTCTGACTTCGCAGATATGACAGCTGAATGGGTTAAAAGAGTTCCATTGGACGCTTCCATAGATCTGACGAATCCGGTAAGAGATGAAGTGTAAACTCATGAACTTCGCGAAAATAAAACAGCATTGCTCAGGTGTCATTCCACGTCTTCAACAAAGAAGTAGATTATCCATTGCAACCAGGTGAAACCGAGCCTGTGCTAGAGCCTGAAGACGCTGATCATCGTCACCAAGTCAAGGTGAGTTGACCATAACGCTTCAAAAAATGTCGGCTACTAATCTTATCCCATACTTTGAGGTTCTTCTGCTCGCACATGCTGGAAAGGAGGAGGTACACAAGAAGGCGTTTGGCTTACTTCCCGACGGATCGACTGACGACACGCACGAGCCTACACCATTCTTCAAACAGCTGAGCTTCCTCGTTGGTGAGTATTTCTACTTTTTGTTCTATTTTACACTCTTCCACTCCTTTTTTCTTTCAATTCTGAGGAGAAAAACAGTAATTTGGCCAGATGATTGCATTGTTGCAGGTACACGTGGTAAGGAACCGCTAGCCATCGGAGGCAGCTGGTCGCCCAGTTGCGATGGAAGTGATCCCACAAACCCGGCTACTATCATTCAAACTGCCATAAGAACAACGAAGGCTTTGACTGGCGTGGACCTCTCCAACTGTCCGCAATGGTAGGTATCTTTGATTTTGTGGGGCGACAAAGTATAGTATCCCGGGACCCTCCGCTCATAACGTTCCGTTCTGTTTGTTTGCTGCGCCATATGCCCGTTTTGAGACGACCATTCTCACCACTTTTGCCTATACTTGATGAGGCACGCGGCCCTCAGTTTTTCTGTGTTTCGGCGTCATTACACTTGGCCAGATGCGAGAACGCAGGTCTTCTCCTTATTCACACTTATTCACCGCAGTTTGCGCTCTAATTAGCTTCGGCTATGTGAGTATGCGACTGCGGGTAGGTATGTCTCTGTGGGCTGACATTCAGGCTGACTCGTTCTATTTCCTACACAGGTACGAGCTGGTGCACGTGCGTTATTACCGCGCGGATCGTGAACGCACGGATAGCGTGCGTCTCCTCTTGCCGGACACTCAACTACTTCTCGCTGCCGACGATGCGTCGGTTGAGGAACGCTGGACCCAAGTGCAGACGGCGCTTCGTGCGCAACTCGACCGCAAGCTGGCCGCTGTTGATGCACCTCCAGAAGTCCAGGATCAACCCCAGGCGGACGACAATTCCGCCAAGGACAAGGAAAGTCGCGAGCGTACTACGCGCAGGCACTCTTTCACTATAGATAACTGTTGTGTGTACGTGTGCGTGTGTGCGTCTGTGTGTTCGTCCTGTTTATTCCTTCCAACACTGCTTTGATTTCTCAAAAATAATGGAACAGGGAGTTCCAAATTTTAACGTCTCACTTCTCGTCTCTTAACAAGCATGCTTCTCTAACAGGTCCCTCTTTTTCATTCATTAATGGCCCTGTTCTTACATTTTTTTATCTTTGATTATTGTGCGACAGGTGAGCACTGTTTCTTTCCATCTTAAACGGAACTCATATTCTTATCTGGGACATCAGCACGTGGTAGTTTCCTTATAGCTGTGCAATGTTTGTATGTTTAGGAGGATCCAACCGCAGCTACGCCTACTAAGGAGGCAACATCGACGACTGGAGAAACTCCCGTAAAAGAAGGTGAAGAAGCTGAAGATGTTGAGTCGAAAGAAGCGCCAACGCACTGGAGCAAGTTGGATCCAAAAATGTTGAAGGTGTGTCAAGAGCATTGCAAAAGTTCCGGTCCCCTTCATTTTATATTGAGCTGTAAAAACTAGTTTTCCATTGCTTATCTTGAATGGAACCCTGCAAAGGAAGCCTTCAGGTGCCTGAGTTACGAGCTGAACTTGAAGCTAGAGGTTTGGAAACCAAAGGTGTGAAGTCTTTACTCTGCAAAAGGCTGCAAGAGGCCTTAGAACAAGAAAAAGAGAAGGAAGAGGGAGAAGGAGCGGCTCCAACCGGTGATATAGAGATGACTGATGTTGCCGGTGACGAAGAAGAGCCGGAGAAGAAGGAAGAGGTGAGAAGCTTTCTGACAACAGTTGCTTCCTTTTCTGAGTTTCCTTATCGACTGGAGAAGAAATATGTTCTATATTCATTTTTCTAGGAAGTTACTCCTGAAAACAAGGAAAAGACAGAAGCGGAGCAAAAGAAACTTGCTGAGGAACAAAAGAAGAAGGCCGAAAAGTTGGAGAAGGAGAAGCAAGAAAAGAAAGCAGCTCTTGAGAAGCACTACACAATGCCTAAGGAACGAAAGGTATCTTTCTGTAACTTGATGGAATGTTATTTTTGGCCTGTCGTTTTTTTTTCTCGGTAAACGAATAGTGTTTAGGTTCTTGTTTATCCATCAAAAACTGCCAAAGGAGGAAAGTTTGACTGCAGAGTGGTGAGTGTACAGTCTTTGTTGGACTATCGACAGGATGACAACAAGGAGTCGCATTTTGAGGTAAAGTTCTCAAAAAAAAAACGGGAATACTGCGTACTGTCACGGGTATAATATCATATGCACAATCTCACCTTCTAGGTTTCTCTCTTCGTGGAAGCTTTCAAAGAGCTTATGGAACGTCATGCAGCTTTCACAATCTACAATGCTATCGCCAGGGCTGCTGACAAAG